GACGGATGTGGAGTTTTAGGAGCCCATAACTCGATCATAATCTCATTCTGCATTTTGCCTCCAACTTCCAAAGTCTCCTCTCCACCCGCTATCCGGCTTTCTATCCGGATCCAGTTTCCCTCTGCAACAGTACCGGAGTCGTTACATCGTCCTTGTCAGAGCACGACACTGTCAACGACGGCGTCGTGGACTTCAACTCGTGCAGCGTTGGCGTTGGTGAGTTTGGAACCTCTACAACCAGTACCAACTACAAGGCCTCCGTGAATCATTTCGACGCGTCATTTCGCAACGGAGACGGGTGGTGGGGCGACCATCGCAAGCCTCTCAAATGGTTTCAATGCGTCTTGTAAAAGTATATGCGCGTCGGGTGACACGGTAGTCTTGTACAAGTTGAATAGTGCAGTGACTCGAACGCACTTTGTCCGACAAGTTTGGAGGTGTTGCCAGACTGCGCTGATGGCGGCTGTGCGGCCGTCCTCATTCGGCCTCTCCAACAATCTTTTATGGTTGGGTTGCGCGAACAGTTGCATCCAGTCTTCCCGAGCCATCAGCTACATGATACATTGCGACGGGGGCCCGCCAAACCAAGCCCATTTGGTTGGAGTTCGAGGGCATTAATAGGTACACCTAGCTCTCCTCTTTGAGTTATATCTTCGGGAATGGTCGGGAAACCAGGCGATGGACTCCGCGCATGCCATTGGTGATAACCACGACCGGGATGACCTTGATTGCTGCACAAACTGAACGGTGTGATCTCCACCATCCATCACGGCACTGATTCAACAATAGTGTAGCCGTTGAGATTGTCAAAGCATACCTCACAGCACGCCCCGTCAGCATGGGGAAGTACCAGAACAATTCTTAGTTATTCGACACAATCCAAATACAGAGATCCACCAGATTTCGCTCCACCTTCAAAATATAAATTCTAACAGACATTTGGAAACACAAAAAAGCAGAAACACAATATTGTAAAGGTGATGTTCGGCTCAGTTGAGCAAACTTGCAATCGAATGGCCTGAGGTGATCCGCACCGAATGAAGCTGATTGAATAGTGCTTCACGAGTAACAATACCCGTGTGGCTCCAGCAGTTTCGAATTGTCGTTGATGTCACGCACTCCCACGTTTGCAGCGACCACTCACTGCATGGCAGTAAGAACGTCAACAGTGTACAAGTTTTCCCCGCGGAGAAACATCTACCGGTAATTTTCTCGACGAGGTCACAAACATAATCCATTTGACGCCTCTTGTAGTGCCGCTTGAAACCTAATGCTATCCTTCATTTTGCTGAATGCCTTTTCCTACTTGTCATCGAGACTGCCTCACATTTGAAATTTTAAAACACGTTCAAATGACCTCTGAAAACTTAATGTTGAAATCGTATTACAGTATACAGTTCATACATTTTGAGTAGAGAGCAAAATGTGGTGGACCTCTGTACCTCCACGCAATCGAGCAGGCGAGGTTGCGATGGACCCACAGGCATCCAAAGCGTGGATTGCATGGGGGCCAAAAGCACGTCGACCGGGCACACAGGTATACCAAACAACAGGCCTCATTAAAGGTGGAAATCTATAAATAGTAGACAGATTTTGCCACGGGGAATTTTCCAGTGAACTTTCCCCGTGGGGTTTTTGGCCGAGTCCACTGGAAAAGTTTGTTCTAGAAATTTTCAGTGAGACCTTCACACGGGGAAAACATGTTCACGTTCACAATTGCAGTTCATTGCAATGACATAGCAGTTTGAAATCGAGCCGAGTGATTCAAAGAAGAAGCACGCCCATCGTTTCACTGCTTCACAGGACGTAGCCCTGTCGAAAGAGGTAATCATCTATTGGCCCCTTCTGCGCGCCATACGGCCAATGCAACATACGATGGACGGAAGTCGCCGTTAACATGCGATCGATTCACGGCGAAAGCATCAGTGCCAAAGGTTGCCGCAAGCGCTGTGACGACTTGCACTCTGCATTCCAACAGGACAGTGTTGCGTCCCTACGAGCGTCAAGGACAGATGAGCAGTACGCGGAACGTGACCAGCTGCTACAGGATCTCGCGGACATGGTATTCAATCCTCCGTCATACATGGCAATCATTGAGTTTCGTAGATTGAAGCAGAACAATGCAAAAGACGAGCGAACAAGGACGATAAGAGCAAGAAGGAAGACCGTCGCGAGATGGACGGACACGCTATCTGTGACGCTGCTGCGGAAGGGTTGAAACGTAAGACTGTTGAAGATTCCACGGACGATGCGGACGATGAAGGCGCCAAAAAGACTCAACTCAAGAAGGAGTTGCGCAGCTCTACTTCAACATCAGTGAAGGATTCGAAGAATGCCTTGGCCAAGTTTGCGTCTTTGTCGTAACACGCGATTGATTACAAGCTGGAAGAGATTGCTATAGGGAAAGAGATGCGTTTGATTACAAGCTGGAAGGATTGCTATAGGGAAAGAGGCCAACATGCTTGCTGCCCGCAAAATTGAGCTCGAAGAGAAGCGTTATCTACTTGATAAAGCGGAGCGCGAAGCTCAATTTACTCTTGAGCAGCAGGAACGCCAAGGATTGTTAGAATTTATGAGAGGAACATTGGAAATAGTTCGATCGCTGAGTAAATAGAAAATTGTTTCAAGATTATGTACAGTTCATTTCAAGTTATTGTTGCTTCGAGTGCAAGTATTGTGCGGCAGAAGGTGGTTTGAGCGCACGCTTGGTTGCCTTGCTTCATACAAGTATGCACGTTTGTCAATATGACAGCTACACTGTAGTGTATTCCAAGAGACTGCAGCCACAGCTTTTGACCACCCTTGTAGTCGAATAAAGTCCACAAGTTGCTAATCCAGCCTAATGTGAAACCCAATATTAATCCCCTCGACAAACGTCCAATTAGATCCTTGAGCTAGTCAGTTCCCATCGGATCATGGTCTTCTAGCTTCTTTATGTTCTCACCGACACACAAAGCTGCACGGAGCCGCCCACCGCAGTCGGGCCAGGCCGCCAAGTTGGCACCGACCGGGGGGTAACGAGTGGCAGCTAGGATTCACGGGTATTCCATCTTGGTGAACGAAACACTCACCCATGCTGAAGCACAATTTGATAAACCACAAGCAAAAAACCGTGTTCAGCGCCTAGCGCATGTCAGACAGCTGTCATCAACGATATGATGGAGGGTCTACACAACTGCGCTGGGGCCTCTACCAATCCCATGCGTGTCCCGCCGTTCGATAAATGGTCGGCGAACGACTGTATGAGGGATGGGATCTCCCTGTCATCGTTGGGAGCTGTTCCCAGCTTGATTCATGGCTTTTAATTATTTACGTAAAAAGGTGATAGTCCTTTCCAAGCCTTTCCATTGAATGAGCAACTCCCACTGGTTAGAATCAGGGTTGCGTCGCGTGCCTTCGACTTTGCCAACGGCAAACATAGTTCCTAGCTCGCTGATGTGGCCCAAAACCTCCTCCGTGATCATATAGGGACTCTCTGCGTAGGACTTCAGTCTTGAGTGATGGGCTTCCTTTGGGTGCCAGTGATGAGGTGTTTATGACACATGAGTACGGCAGACATACGACCACTCGGTAAGGTCCTGCCCACGTGACCAGTAGCTTCGGGTAGTAGTTGTTGCATCCACTCTTTTACAAAATCTCCTTCAGTGACTTGCATGTCTACTTGTTTCTCTTTCTCGCGCGTGCTCTTGTTTCAGCGTCATGGCGCGGTCGATAATTGATGGATAGATTTCCTGCAGACTCCTTCGTAGGTCGCTTATTGCAGTTTGCATATGCTTGCGTTCCCACTTGTTCGTGTTGAATCCTGTTTTTGACAATTGGCATTGGTTTACATATACAATGGTAGTGAGAGGTGTCGTTGGCTCCAGGTCGGTGGAGCATTCCATTGGGCTCAAATGATCCAGCGTCGCGACTGGCGTCTGGTTGATATCGGCTTGGACAAGTGGTAGCAAGTAGTCCCATTCGGTTTCTTTGAGCCTGGCTTCTAGAAACATGATTCGCATTTGTCCCAGGATGTCGTGGTTGACACGTTCAACTGTGCCATTGCGCTCTGTAACCAAGCCTACTGCTGAGGGCTTTGAGTGTACGAGCACAGCAAGCAGGTCTTCATCCATGCCGTGAGCTCTGTATTAAGCTAGCGGATGTAGAATGGCTTTCGTAGATGAGTCGCAATGGCATGATGAGGACGATGTCCCATACCGCTGCAATGTGCCACGATGAACCGGCGCGTGAGGAGTTCGTCAGTATCGTCATAGATACAGATGCGATCATTGACTGTGCACACCCCGCTGTCGCCGATCGTGGTGGATTGCGAGTGAATAGACTTATCCTGGGTGTCCTCGATCGCGTCGAGGTCCGGTCAAATGAAGTTCTCGTCGTCTAGGAGGCGTAGCTTCGCTTGTGGCGGTGTGCACACGTGCTTTGGCGCCGTTCGTTTTTCCTGTGGGTCCACTTACGCAGAGCTCATGAGATCAGCCCGTAGGTTGTGCACACCGGCTGAATCCGCAGTCACGATGTACCGTTTCATAGGAGCGATGCAGAACAAATAGAGCAGTCACACGTTGACAACTCCACGCGCATGTACCCACCATGATCAAGGCGGCAGAGCTTTTGTCTCCGACGATGCAGCCCGAAGGTGCGCCACGCAAGTGTCGACCTTCCTTAAACATGTTGCACCAAAGCGATCGCTTAGCGCCGTGGAAGGGGAAAGCGGCGTCCAGGTACTGTCGTTCGGGATGCACACTCAATGCAATGACAGCTCCGTGGATTCATCTGCTCGTGGCGTTCGCACGAAGATTGCAACAGCGATGGACCGAACGAGCGAGGAATTGCGTCGGCGTACCGTGCTGTTGTCCCGTCCAATCCTTGTCGTTATTGGCCGCACAGTGTGTGAGGAGCATGTGCCTTGCCAAGTCGAAATGTCGACTGGACGGCGACACTGCATCCATGCATGCTTCGGTGGCGGTGCAATGTCAAAAGGATTACCAACTCTGTTACACTTTCATAACAACGTTTGACAGGTCATTCGTGTACTGGCGCAGCACCAGATACGACGCCGTCATTGCACTACGGGGCCCACCATTGTTGCACGTCACTTGGCCAACACCAACAACCCAATCGCTCCCAACACCTCTAATGTATAAGGACCACCTCGAACACACCCTTTGTGCCCCCACCAGGTCAACGTGCGCTGAAGGCGCTGCTGGGCAAACGGAAGGTGACGGTCGAGCACTGGTCCTTGACTACTGCTACTCGATTGGTAGCGCAGAGGACTGATGTAAAATCTGCAAAAATCGTCTCTAGCGATCATGTACAGGATTAGGGCAAGTGTGTACCTGTGTAAAAAAGTTCCAAGTGTCACAGTCAACCTTCAGTGAGCGCTGACTCGAACAAGTCGGATGCATCAAGCGCAGTTCACTTCACAGCGACCGGTCAGTACGTAGCGACCAACCCCGCGATGGCGCCAACAACCTCAAACAAACTGCACGGCACCTGTTCCCGCTCAAGTGCTTGGCGGCCCTTCGAGGCCGTCCACACCGCGCCGCTACTTCCCAAAGTCACCGCCATGATATTGACTCCCATATTTCATGTGATGTGTAAAAAGAGTATATGCAATATTTGGTGAGAAGTGCTACAGTCAACTTGATACTACTCTGGTCCGGAATAGTTGTCCCATTGTTTTTGGATTGGCGGAATTTTTCTAAAAGTTTCCAAATGGCGTGATCATTGGTGCAATGGAAAGCGCAAGATCTCTATTTTCATTGGCTACTTTCTGCACGTTCTGAATCGCTTTTGCTCA